TGAAAAGTAATAGGAAAAAAATAAAATGGTAAAGATGCTTCAACACACTTCTCTCAGTAAATAGATAGCAAATCAGTAATAGCAAAGAAGAAAACCCTACCAAACAAATAGACTTAATTATCAATTATAGAAAACTCCACCCAACAACAACACGAACACCTGTTCTCTTAAGTGCATGAGGAATAGTCACCAGGTTAGACCATATGTTGGGAAACAAAACTCTAGTCTCATAAATTAGAAATATCCAATCACACAGAGTGTATTCTTAGACCAAAATGGAATTATTAAAATCAGTAACAGAAATATCTGGGAAATGTTTGGAAATTAGGCAATACATATTTATATAACCCATGAGTCCAAGAAGAAATTTCAAATGGAACTTAAAATATGTTGACCTGAATAATAATAAAGATAGAACATGTCAAAATTTGTGACATTCAGGTTAAAAATGAGTTTAGAGGGAATGGCTAAAATTCAAAAGTCTGATAATAAGAAGGATGATAAAGATGTGGAGTCAATGGAGCAGTCATAAATTAATAGTGGGAATATAAAACAGTTTTAAAAATTGGAAAACAGCTTGTCAATTCCTCCTAAAGTCAAACATACAATTACCTTACTTCCTAACAATTTTACACCTAGGTATTTACCTAAGAGAAATAAAAACTTAGACCCATTCAGATACTCTCACAGAAATGTTTATAGCAGCTTTATTCATAATAGCCCCAAACTGGAACAACTCAAATGTCTGTTGACAGGAGAAAGGATAAATGAATTATAATATATCCACATAATGGAATACTACTCAGCTATATATTGGATTGAACTGATACATGAAACAACATGGATGAATCTCAAAGTAATTATGCTGAGTGGAAGAAACAAGACAAAAAAGAAAACATACTGTTTGATTACATTTATATACATTTCTAGAAATTGCAAACTAATTTATGGTCACAGAAAGCAGATCAGTGGTTGTCTGGAGGCAGAGGGGGAGGAGGCTGGGAGGTGGGAGGGATTACAAAGGCTTTGGGAGTGATGGATTTGTTCATGATCTTGACTGTAGTCATGGTTTCATGGATGTATACACATTTCAAAATGAATCTATTTGTAACTATATGTGGCGATGGATATTTATTAGACTTAGTGTGATCAGTTCTCAATATATACAAATATTGAATCATTATGTTGTACACCTGAAACTAATATAATGTTATAGGTCTATTATATCAAAATTTTAAATAAATGAATCCAAGTGTATACTTTAAATATGTGCTGTGTTCTATATCAATACAGATGTTACTAAAAACATGGTATTATAGTTTTATATAAAGATAGATGCAATATATATGGCAGCTGCAATACAGAAGATGGGGCTATAAATTGCAAGGTTTTTACACTTGACGAGTAAGAGCAGAGTTCAATATTAACTCTAAGTAGATTCTGAATAGTTAAGAATATATATTATAATACAGACCGTGACCACTAAAAATGATCACAAAGTATAGCAAAGAAGCAAATTAACATGGAATTTTAAATAAATACTTAATTAACCCAAGAAGACAAAACAGAGAAATATGGGAACAAAAGCCAGATGGAAAAGACAGAAAATAATAAAATGGATGATCTTAATCTAACTGTATCAATAATTACATTAAATGTAAATGGGCTAAACACTCCAAATGAAATAAAGACATTGTCACAAGGGATAGAAAAATAAGAGGGTTTGATAAACTAAGGGATGTCTTCAATCCTGAAGTTCTTTATGTTAAATCCTATGCCACATAGTTTTCTTATTTTAACAAATATTTTGAATGGCTGCATAGCACTCAAACTTACAGTTATAATAGATTTAATCATCTCCAGATGACTAGGTTTCTGTACACTAGGTTGGACAACATATCTAAGGTCTTTTCTGTTCTTCATCTCTGATAACTTAAACAGCTTATGTTTTTATTCTCTTTTATGGCCATTAACAATCCCTCACTGAACACTTTTGTGGTTCCTGATTTAGAGAATACTCGATGTATGATGATGCAGAGTTATACTAAGGTCATTCAATTTCAGCACCTCCTAGTCAGCAATAAAATATTCATTGTACTCATCATTCAGAAATTCCTTACCAAGAACCATGATCCATATATTACAATCACTAATTCATATTGCTATTCAATTCCAAAAACCTCACAGAGCATTGGATCTCAGCCTCCAGAGACCGTTCATTGCTGGGCTTTATCACATTTATCCAGAAAACTCATGTCTGTGAGAATGTCAGTCTTTCCCTGCTTGGCCAAATGGGATCTCCATCTCTCATGCAACTACAGTCCTGACACGGGAAGCTCAAATCATTTCTTTACAGGACTTAATTTCTTCCTTCCTCCATTATAGCTCTTAATATTACTAAGTTGAGCACATAGGAGAGAATAATCTGGTCAGTGAATACGTAAACACTGGCTAGAAGAGACTGGGCTAGAAGAGATATGAGTATCTTCAATACGCAGTTTTTGACAGCCAAAACTAGAAACACAAAAATCTAAGAGGGAACAGGTTAATTAATTTGGTCCTGCTATGTGATGGCATGTACAGGATTATTAATCAGGATGATACTGGTCCCAGTGTAAAGTACGCACTCATAACTGGGGAAAGGTATCCAGTTGAAACTTAAGACATAGATTCTGTTCTCAGATTTTCTAAATGTAACTGCTCTTAGAGTTCATGACATATTAGTGTCTTGGGGTTTTCATCAGTAGAGGCAAGAGTATGAAGATCACTTCTTAAGCATGAATATCTTAGAGAAATATAATCTACATAAAAACTTAATAATATGTTGTAATCCTGTATAAATATGTTAGCTATTTTTATTGAAGAACATTGCATGTCCCCTAACTGGGTATTATAAAAGAAACAATTTGCCTTTTTAGGATAAAATTGTGCTTATCAGCCCTGCTCTGATAATGCTCACAAAAAAAAAGGGGGGGGGGAAATCAGGACTTTTACTTGAGAATGCATTTTTAATTTATAAATCAAGAGCTTCTAGGAAAGAGGAAATTTCCCTCCCACCGAAATGGAGCAGAAACAAAGAGACATTTGTGAATTATAACCTGCCCAAAAAATCCGATGTGATCAAGCGTCTCATACAGTGAGAACATTAGTAAGACTGACAGTGCCCTTAAGCAGCAACAAAAGGCATGTGGGTAAATAAAATGATTCCTTATTTTCTTCTATTTCAATTAGTATTTGGACATGTTTTTGGGAATACAACTAAAAATCAGATGTTAATGCAAAGTTTTGTTAAACTTTTCTTCTATCAATAATTTAAAATCAATGATTTTATGAAAGAAAATCAACCATCCTCAATGTTGACTTTTGTGTGTAAACCAATTCTTTCCCCTCATCAAGGTTCTTCTTTTGGGGATGGCAGGACTGAGGAGGAAGTCAGGAGGCACCAGGCTGTTCTTGGGGCACAGAATGACTCCCTTACACGACACTCTCCAGGTCCACACCCGCCCTGCTCATACACATAAACAGATGGCAGGAGGACAGAGCCTGGACTACGGGAATAGGTTTACAGCACGTTCCTGGGGTCCGAGCTCTGGGAACCCCGAGGCTCTGAGACAGTAGCCGCCCCTCAGAGCTCCCAAGTAGAGAACTTTCCAGGCTTTCCCAAATTAACCTCGGTGTCCCCTGGCTGGAAATCTCCCTTTAGGGCTCAAGATCCTACTTCCCTCTTGCAGCCAAGCAGCTGTGAGGAGAGAAGAGGAGGAACACCAGGGAGCCCAGAGCCACCAGACAGTGACGCCACAGAGCCACAGCCATCACACCCGCACAGGTGAAGGACATGCACCAAATCCCCGTCACCCCAGCACAGCCACGCACCTGTCACAGCCTCGCAGCCACACCCACGGCACGGAGGCGCATCCCACCGCTCACTCGCGTCTCTCACACACACCCCGCCACACGCTGCCCGTCTGTCCCCACAGACACACACCGTCCTCTGCCGTTCAGGCCCGAGAGTCCCGTGAGGACTGGCGTCCCTACTACCGGCCTCCACGCAGTGAGCGCTTCCACTGCCACCCCTCCTGGTTCACGTCGGGCTCCGAATTGACTCGCTTCACAGGATTCCCGCATCCTGTGCTAACACATCCACAAATGAGCTCAACTCACCTTGCAAAGAGGGAGAACCGCGCGAATACGGAATGGAAGCCGAAGATCTGGAGTGACCGCTGCCCTCTGGGAAGTGTCGCTCCAACCTGAACATCTCTGGGCGCGGCGGCTCGTCAGAAAGGCCGCCGAAGCGCGGAAGTCCCGGTGGAACGGCAGCGCGAGAACCGCCCGGAGCCCGGCCCCAAGCGCAAGTCTCTCCGCCAGGAGCGCGACGCGAGGGCGCGTGCGCGGGCACGGAGCCTGCGCGGAGGCCGCTGGTGCGCGTGCTCGGTCCAGAGGCGCCGCTGCGCCCAGGAGGCCGAGCAGGGCTGCCCGGGGCCGGCTCCGAGCGTCCGGCCTGTGCGCGCAGAGCCGCGCGGGAGGGTCGGCGGGGCGGCCCCGGGGCGAGAGCGCACGGCGGGTGTGAGCTCTGAGGGCGGGGCCCCGGGCGAGTCCCCTCAGGCGGCTGCAGGCTGGGGACAGCACGTGGGGCAAGTAACTCCTGATACCGCCTGGGATGAGCTGGTTTATTCAGTGTCTGTTAGCTGCGTTTAAAAGGTGTGTAGGAGTGAAGTAATACATATTTACTTAATTCTCTAGGCTAAGCTATAATAGTCAAAATGCAATGAATAATTAAATGTAAAAGCGATCTGGAGATACATCTGCATATGTTT